GGTTGAAATCCCCCGACCTGCATTATTCAAGGTCAGAACAGATGGTTCTTTCTGCTATTCAAAGCCCATTGTCTGTGGATATTTAACAGTCCTCAAAATGGAGCCCTTACCTCCCATCAATGTCAGGCTACACACACATACTTTTTAACACCTCCCCCAACATCAGAAATGGTCTTGAAACTGCCCTGCTCAACACAGCAATTTCATCCTTCCTCTGGGAGAGGTTTGAGAACTGGTTTTTGTCTTTGCTTTTATACAGTTGGATGCAAGAAAGAGAATTTATATGTAACCCTTGCTGGCACACTAGGCCGGGCGATGTGCCGGATTCTGGATCTTCAGGGTGCCAGTAACCTTGGGAACTCCCTCAGGTGGGTCTCTGAACTGAGGTGTCCCTGGGGAGAGTGTCCCTCACTTCCCAAGATCCTCACTATACGCCCCACTGAGAAAAAGGGGTTTTCTTTATTTATACACAGCTATATACAGGAAGGGAAAAATGGATTAGTAACAATAACAGGAAATTATGTAAGATCAATGGTAATTATTAGAAAGAAACAATAATTTGACTACTGTTTACAAATACAACATTAAGAGAAATGGTGGTTGTTACCATTTACAGTCAACTCCCTCACTGATTACATTCCCCTGGTCATAACCTTTGAAACAGTTTCCCTCCAGAGTTAAAACCCACTCCCCCTCCAAATTTAAACAGCAACATGGTTGTCAGTGGTGACACGCAGGTGGACGTGCACCCCCTGACAACAGCGTTCCCTGCTTAGGTGATGGGCGGAGGGAGGGGGGCAGGTGAGAGTGCTGGTGCCCCCCCTGAGAGCACTGGCTAGGGAGCGGGGGTGCTAGGAGAAGTGGTCCCCGCAGTCCCTCTGTGGCCGATTGCGCCGACCCGCGAGTGCCACGCTGCTGGCACTTCTGGATCAGCACAACACTTTCAGGTCGGTGCAACTGGCTGCCAGTGGACCCTGCTCCCATTGCTGACTGGCTGCTGCAAGGGCAAGTGCCCCCCCCGCTGCTGCAGGGGCAAGTGCCCCACCTGCCCCCCGACTCAGGAGGCACCAGTTGCTGGCTTCTAGCTTGAACAGTGGTTTTCCATAACAAGCCTCTGACCCAGCAGTTTCTCCTAACGCCCAGCCGGCTTCCTAACTCCTCCTCACTCCTTCCTTGGGTACTTGTGTCCCTAGGGCACTACAGCTCCCACTCCAGTGAGGAATTAGTTTCTCCCAGGATGACTCAGACTCTCCCCTGCCCTGAACTCTGCTCCCTGGCAAACCACAACTCTGCTCCTTCCCCTGGGGGATCAGGAGGGGACTGAGTCGCTGTCCCTATCTCCAGGCTCAGATTTCTCTCCGCCCCCGGGGGTTCTTTTCCCTCCCTCAGCTTTTTATGGCTCCATACTAATCAGAGTCCAGGGTTTGTGAGGGGGGCTCTGGCCAGTTCAAATGCACCAGTAAAAAGCATGCATTTTTTCTCTGCAAAGTGCTTAGGCATGGCTCATCTACTCAGTTTGCCGCCAAGCAAAACTCTGCAGCTGTTACTGATATGACGGCATCTTCTCTGCTTCCTTAGAGCAGGAAGCCTAGAGGAGTGCACTTGGAGGTACTTGGGAAAGCGCGTCCCTTTATCGCCAGTTCAGCTCTGGTTCAAGGTAGTGCCGACCAAAGCATCCTGGCTTTTCAGCGGGCCACGGAGCAGAGCTAGTTCCTAGTCCATGCTAATAACACATACAATACCAGTCCCAGCGCTCTGAGGGTTGCCTGCATTGTTTTAGCACTGGTGGGAAAGCAAAGCACCTCAGAAGGCACGGGAAGGAGAAGGGCTTTAAGTGTTGACGAGTAGATAAACTAAGGCGGGGTGGAGGGTTTTTCTGACACGGCTGCCACAAGCAGAGGTGACTGGTGCCTCCCGAGTCTGAGAGACGCACTGAGGCGCGGCCGGGCCGGCACGTGGCCCCCGGGGCGGCAGGCAGCGTGTGGGCGGGGCCGCCCTGCGGGAGGAGGGGCGTGGCGGGGAGGCCCA